CTTCATGCACGTGAGCTGAATCCTAAGCGGCTATTCACAGAGAATGCGTTTTTGCATGTAAAAAACAAGACGCAGGATATGAAATGGGAAATAACTATAAAATATGAAATGGGAAATAATAATAATGCACACCTTACAGCGCATGGACGTTTAAAAGCGTGTTTGACGTGCGAGAACAACATGAGAGTGAGTTAACAGACACAGAATTACAATTTTTGGATGAGCTGACTTTAGTGATTAGTCATTTTGTCACGCTTTACGATTACTATGGCAACGTCCGCCTCGAGTCCATGACACGAGCACTGCTTTGACTGAACAAAACGCATCCAAAATGAGAGAAAGCGGCAGCCGCACGGTGATTTCACCGCTTGCCGTGTCCTGTGTAGCTTTAGAACTGGGATTGATTGCGTTGCTCATCTGAAGCGCGTGCGCGCTGGAGCAGCTCGCCAAAGTAAAGTGCAAACATCATTTAAATCACCATATCGCATTTAGTTTTGAGTAGTATGAGGTTTCAAAGCATTTTCATTATGAAAACTACTACTACTAGTTTTTATGAAAACTACCTTATGTGCATTTTGCTTTTGTATTTGAGTGTAAATATTATATCTGAAAATAAATAACATTGAATATAATGCTTTGGTTGTTAATTTTAACCTCTAATATTATGTCCCAAATGAGAGGGCTCCCTGTGTAGTTTGCAATCATTGGTTTGGGGGGAAAAACAATGCTGAAAACTATCGGTATCGGCAGATATCATTCTGAATAATTGGTTTTTGGCATTGGCATTTAGTATCAGTGAATAATAACACATTTATATCAATACACTTGGACTTTTTTTATATGCATGTTTATTAAAAATAGTATGTTAATTTATTTACAGAAGTATTGTCATCATACCTCAAACTTCTCTAAAATGTAGGCTAGTTACTGAAGTTTCGTCTGTGTTTGATGACGTTGCTGGGTGTTCTGAATGAGCACATTTTGTCTAGTGAAGTGAATGTGCTTAGGGAATAGGGAGCAGACACTGTGTAGAGATCCTGTCAATCAGAATGCAGCTCGGTTCATGGAGCTCTCTCCTAACAAGCTGATGATCTCAGTCATCTGAATTGGGAACCACTGCTGTAGCGACTGCAACTAGCAACACACTAACAACCAGCAACTGCATTGTACCAGCCTAGCATCGTAGTGGTCAGAACATTTTAAAAATGCATAGCAAGCACTTACAGTAGCAACACCTTAGCAACCACAAAACGACACTCTAGATTGTGGTTTTGCAAGAGCAAACAGCACATTTATTTCCCTGGATAATGTAATAATCTAAATGGAGCTGTTTATTTTTGCTGTGGACATGCACTGTAGTTTGCTGTTTGTCATGCAGGCTGTCCTACACATCTTTTGCGCAGTAGATCTGAGAGCTGCCTGCTCTTCCCCCCCAGCGTTTTACTGACACAGTCATGTAATTACAGCCGCCGTGGTCACGCCTCTCCCCAGACATGCTCGTTTTTAGCTCGGATCTCCGTGGGAGTGCTGAGCTTTTTTACATCGACGTGATGGACCAAACCAGAAGCACCGCTGTACAGCACAATAGAGCCCTGCACAATGAAAAGGGGGCCGCACTCCTCCCTGCTTGTATTTCAATTTTACAGCTCTAGGATCTCTGTGAACACGTCCATTGTGTTGATTTACCCGTTGCTAGGCTCTTTGGGCCACGACTCGGACAGTGGGTATTTGACATGTCAAGTCGGAGCCTAAAGGTCCTCTGTTCCATCTGCTCTCAGCTGTTGGAAATTGTTGCCTGCTAATGGAAGAGGGTTATTAGGATCTGCTGTGTTCTTGCTCCAGCTCGGCGGGATCTCTGGGGCTTTGATTATTTCTGGAGTTCAACATGACACAGCTGCTTGCTGCTGTACTTATAGTGTGACATGCTCCATGGGAATGGGTGTGTCTGGCTTCTTCGATGCCTTGTGCACTTACTGTATTGTTGGGAATGCTTTGTGCTTTTTTTCTCTCTTGCATTTCCTTGTAGTTTTCACATAGTTGTTTGTATATCAAGTAATAGCAACACCTTGCTTTCCCAATATGTGGCACAGAGTGATATATGGACTAAATACTGAATCCTGGCCTTTTTTATAAGTAGTATGTAGGGGTATAAATTTTACACAAAATGACAGTTCGGTAAGCACCTCAGATTCCTCAGAAATCATGGTCATGTTTTTGGTAGAACTAGGGAAAAACAAAAAGTAAAACTGCTTTTTTCTTTTTTATTAAAGGGGTCATGACATGTATTTTGTATTATTTTAATATGTTCCATCAGGTTCACTTAAAATGTTAATTAAGTTTTTTTTTTGCACAAAAAAAAACATGCAGAAAAATTATTATTCAACCCTCATTCTGACCCTCTGTCTGAAATGATCAATTTTTAAGGGCTTTAAAGCTGCAGTATGTAATAATGACAGCTAGCGGTTGAAATGGGTACTGCAGTCCAAACTGCAGTCCATGTTCACATGGGTTGCCAGATTGAGGACTCGCAACAGGAACAAGCGCAATTGACAGTGGAAGCCGACAAGCCTAACACTGTAAAGCCGCAGTCACACTAGACTTTTTGTTCCATTGACTTCCATTCATACGCATGCGAATGCGTCAGACCGGAAACGCAAGCCTGTGCGAAAAAGTTTCGCATTCTGCTGCGTTCCAAAGTTCAAGCATGGTGAACGCTGGCCTGCGAATTCGCATCACGTGATAACGTGTGACCAAAGGCAGATCGATACGTCACAGCATGATCTTCTATCTGAATTAAAAGAACATAAATTTAAAACTGCAGCGCTGCAGGAAAGTGGAGTAGATTGTATGTTTTTTCAGAATGTTCATTTCGGTTATTTTTCCCAACCGACGCTCGTTTATTAGCGATTATTAACCGTTAACCGACAAGATTATTTTAAATTAGAATTGAATTAAATTAGAAAGGATAAGTGTCTGTGACCCGTTAAAAATACTAACATTTGTTTCCCGGGGATTAATTTTACATGAATAAAAAGCTGCAAACAACAGAACATGAGGATTCACATGGTCATCATCACATCACGCACCTGCAGCGCTTCTGCGAGCGGAGAAAAACATAATAAAGCTAGGCTATATATATAAATAATAATAATATAATAATAAAATAATAATAATTATAATAATTATAAATAGGCCTATACGAGAAATATATTTTTACTTAATAAATTAAGAAAACGAAAGAAAAACTGTGCAACAAGTAGCCTAGTTATGCAGAGTTTCGGTTCATTTTTGTGCTGCGAGAAAGGAAACCAGTCGACAGAAAGCGGCATCCTATTTTTCTTTAGGCTTATTTTACAAAAGCACAAAGATTAGTTTTTATTGTGACGCGCCGGTGCTGCATGCGCACACACAGTTAAGTTTTGCTACCTTGACAATGCAGCCTGTTCATTATCGTAATAAAATACAGTCAGTCAAACATATGGAAAAAAACACACACAGCTCAGTTTAAATATGAAGTAAAATCTGTGCCGTGCGTTATCACAAATTATGTTTACGTTATGATGTTATGCAATACTATTTGTTTTACGTGGATATTGGAACGCCAGTGAAGTACATAATAAACGCATTAGTCCTATTTCTGAATGAAATAATAAAATGCGACTTATACGCCACTTGCTTTTTTTTTTTTTCTTCTAAAAAACGAATTTTTTTATATACGCGTAGTGTATTTTAACCATGCAGAAAACCTTTTTCAATATTTTGATAAATTACTGAAAAAAATAAATAAATGAATTTTTAAACCGTTTAAATTAAAAATTCTTACGGTCGGTTAATGGTTAACCGGTTAAAAAGAACATCCCTAATGTTTTTTATATTTTAGATGTATTATAATTTATTTCATGTTGAATTTAGGTTTTTAAAAAGACGCTGCACAGTGTGACGTCTTATCACGACCGTTGCAGCATGCAAAACAATTTCGCATTCTCAGAGTCTAGTGTGACCGCGGCTTAAGCTGATGAGTTGATGTATCTGTATTTTAAAATGCCTCTGGTCATAGAGCTTTTTACATGGATGCCGAGGCTTTTTATGTTGGGTAGAATCTGCAATCTCTATCCCAGTTCTTTTGCTGGTTTCCATGGCTGCAGTATGCTGTGTTTTCCTCCAACTGGCAACCTGGGGTGTTGAAATAGTAATGGGTAAATTGGCAGTGGGTGGAATCACACAGACCAAAACAAAAACAGACATTCTGACACGGAACACACATTTCAAAGTAGAATAACTGACTGGGGTATTGCTTTTCTTAGGAACAAGTATGTAAACTTAGCTTGTTTCCTAAATATCTGCAGACATGATATTTTTATGCTTTTTGATACATTTTATAAATTCTACATTAGGGATGGGCCGATTACCGATTTCAAGGTATACTGCGATTTGAAAATGTCACAGTTTCAAAACCACTAATATTTTCCGTTATAGGGTGAACGTACCTATTAAGCTCACGTACCCATTAAGCACACTTCCATTTTTGAGCTCAGATTATAAAAAGAAAAAATAATTTATTACCCTACTTGATGTCTTAACCAATTGATGTGTTTGTTACTACATACTTCCTGTAACTTCAAGTCAATCAGATCATTGCACACGGAGATATAGGTCTCCATGTGTTCACTGGTGGCCATTTTAAAAGCTGTCTAAAAACTTTCACTAAAAGAGGAGCCCCTTAAATGTGCATTTTTTTAGATGTTTAAGCATTTATTTTGCATAAGATTCACTGCTTACTATAAAATCAAGAGATTAATGTTCAGACATTTGCATATTATAACCTGGAACTTGGATATGGGAAATAATTACAGTTAGATCCAAAAGATAGTTTACATAGCGCAGATGCTACAGAACACAGTTAGCTGACTGGCTGTATAAAATTGTGTGCTATGCTAATATATTACTTCACAGGCATTACTGGCTTGTAATTTTAAATCCATAATATTATAAATTTACACTTTATTGCTGGTTTGTGGTTTTATACTGCTGTAATTTTTAAAGATTTTATATTATTGTCGATTTTATAGGGCCGTTTTAACCATAGGGCTAGGTGGGGCTGAAGCCCCGGGGCCCGAGCAAGGAGGGGGCCCGTGATTGGCTGTGGAGTAGATTGACTGGAGCGCCGATCGCCAAAGCGATTGAGCGGTTGAGCTTTTCCGTAAATTCCATGCATTACCATTTGAAATTGAAACGTAAAGTCTGAATTTGGTTTACCAATCAAATG